TTAATGAAGATAGGGTTTTTGTTGTTGTTTAAAGTTATTTACAGGAGTGGTTAAATTTATTATGAAATATTTCTACATTGTTTCATTCTGAGAATATTCTTGAGCATAAAATTAGTATATTCATAGCATTTTCCTCTATGAGTGCTTTTGGAATCATTCCTGTAGAAAAATATCTACAGAAAATATAAAAGTCAAATTGAAATTCTGCATAAATTATGCAGAATCTTTGAGCAGTTATTAGCCTTCTTCAAATATAACAACATTGTACAAGGACTGGGCTGCTTATCCATATGCAGCAGAAGAACACATTTTGGACTGAGGTTATCAACTGTCGTTACACATACTGTATGAGGCCAATTCACATTCCATTATTTATTGGATTTTGATTATTATATTGAAAACAAATCAAATCAGATGTATTTTTAGATACAATTTCATCTTATTTTAAATGTTTTTATTTACGTAGTTTCTGGGATATGTACTGTCTCAGCATAAAGGCAAACAAAACCTGGAATCAGGCAGTTTGGGGTTCCTATCATCTTGCTCAAGGAAAGAGAGATGTGTGTCCCATTGCTCAACAGAGCTTCATCTCCAGTTTGTAGCTTTCATATCATGAGGAATGCAAAGAAAATTAGCCATTTTTATATTAAATTCATTTTTAAAAGTTATTTGGTATATAGATTCTGCTACGCAGTACAATTGAATGTTTCTTAAGATACCTTTTCAAAATCATTTTAAGAGTGCTATTTTGGTTAACATTTTTTCTTCAAACGAACAGAGTACTGTGGAAACAAGTCAGATGACAACTGTTACACTTCCTCTATTGCCATCTTCATTGAAAACCCTGAGCACCAGGGGTGGGTTTCAAAAAATATTACTACCTATTCTGTGGGCATGGCCTATTTTGTGGGTGTGGCTTGGCAGTCATGTGACTGGGTGGGCATGGCCAACGTGATGTCACTCACCAGGAGATGCCATGGATTGTGTAAAATGTGGTGAAGGTCATTTAACAATGCTCTTGCTTAGCAACCAAAATTTTGGGCTCAATTGTAGTCATAAGTCAAGGATTATCTCTGCCTTTCTCTGCATGGCAGCCTTGTCCTTAATAGCAATTTTCCTCTCTGTTAGAGGCACCAAAATAATCCAGACAATGTAAGGTTTCCTGCTGCAGCAGAGGGTTGGACTAGATGACCTCTGAGTAGCCTTCTAGCCCTAAATTGCCGTGCTTCCTTCTTTCTTTCTTTCTTTCTTTCTTTCTTTCTTTCTTTCTTTCTTTCTTTCTTTCTTTCTTTCTTTCNGGTGTCGAGGAGTTTCTTGAAGCATTTAAGGAGTAAAGTAACCACCAGCCATAAATCCATTAGAAAAAGCCAATTCGCTGCTAAATTTCCCTGTTCTTTGGTTTCCAAATTCCCAAACCCTTTGGGCAGCTCCCTCACTCTAGAGCTTTCATTGCTTTCCTATCTAGTCTCAGTTACTACTGTTGAGCCAGATGCCATCTACTTGATACCCAGGGTTGAGTTCCAGCAGTCACTACTGCTAGTTTGTTTGTGGGCATGCCGTGCACATGTGCACTTGATGCGTGCCATGCACACATGCGCAATGCAATAAAAATTGTTCTGCGCATGGGCAGAAGAAAAAACAAGATGGCAGCAATAGGAACCCACCACTGTTGATACCTGTGCATTTGGTTTTTATTGCTTAACTGCAGGACCTTATTTTTGTCAACACTAAACTGCATCTTGTTGGCTAGAGGCCAAACAGATGAGGACATATGGCTGTGAGTGTAAGGTGCATGTCCATAATGTGCTGAAACAACTGCCTTCCATCTATAAACATCTGTAAGGTTGGCTTCAGACACTTCTAATTGGGATCTACAGAGTACAGAAACAGGAAGCAGTAAGTAGTCCAAAACAACAAAAAAGAGCAACCCAGGTATGTGAGGGTGGAAAAGAAAAAAATAATATTGGTGGCCATAGTCATGTGCATTGCCATTTCTTCAATATCTACAACCAGTGCTTGACCAACCCCACCATTGCACATATCACACATCATCAAATTGCATCTCTGGCTTTTTTTTTGCTGTGGGTAGATAGGCAAGCAGGCTAGAAAGTTAAAGTATGATGTATCACCTTGCTGTGGTCAGCCAAAGCCCATCCCTAGCTCCTCCCAAAGTCTGGTCAAGGACAAGTGCACAGGATATCCTAGAAGTACCTGAGTAACATCATACTGTGCTAGAGCAGGGATCCCCAACCCATTACAGTCCAGTAGTGGCTGTGGCCTGTTTGCAACAGGGCCATGCAAGCTATGGGCAACCACACACCTACATGCATGAAGCTCCACTTGCGCGAGCGATAGGCCCTTGCACTCGTACAAAGCTCCACTCATGCAAGTGGAGGATGTTCATGCACGAAGCTTTATTCACATGAATGGAGCATCGGATGTGAGCACAAGTGCCCTTTGGTCACATGAGTGGAGCTTTGGGCGATTGCAAGGGCCCACCACTTGCATGAGTGGAGCTACGCTAGCAAGTACAAGTACCCTCCAATCAAGTGCCTTTCGCTTACAATCCTTCCATCCACCCTCTAACCCTTCCATCCTCCCCTCTAACTCTTCCACCATCCTGTCAAAACCTATCCTTCCATCCTGCCACCATCCAGCTGATGATGCTTTTTGGATGAGATGCAAACTATCTTCTTCCTCCTCCTCAAAAAAAAAACAGTCAAGGTGCCTTTTTGAAAAAGCACCTTTGAGACTACTTTGACCTGAATGACTGAATCTCCACTGACATCCTATAAAGGGTCTGCACAGGATAAAAGATAACTCGCACTGGCATTTCTGCCATGACTTTGGCCTACAAATCTGCAGAGGTAGGTGACTGGGAAAAGATGATGGTTCTACCATGGCAGAATGGCATCTATGAGCATGCATGCCAATTCATGCTAATAATCCTCCTTCCATACTTTGTAGAGTGGTGCATAGCAGACATTTCTCTTGGTTGCCACCATATTGGCTGTTTACATCATTGTTATCCAGCGATGCAGAAACTAAGGCACACCTGAGGGGAGGTGAACCCCACCCCCACCTGCCTATTGTCTCTAAGACAATTTTAAAAAAGAATCTATCCAAAATAAATTGAAGTGAAACCATTTTTAAAAATTCTATGCACAATACTTTGAAATATATTGTGCATA